GCAGTCAACTGTGTACCCAGTGGCTTAAAACTTACGCCGGGTGCATTTGCATGTATGCCCAAAGTCCCAAGGGAAGAATGGAGGAGAAAGGATTGCAGTGTGGCCATCCCTCTAAAGAAAAAAAGCAAATATCTCTTTAGCAAACATTTCTCTAAAGAAAAAGAGAAACATCTGTGAGAATTTCAGTAGGGTGCTGGGGATAGAAACCACATTAGAAGAAGTTAGACAGTGAATGGGGAAGATAAGAAAAGCAAAGAGTGAATTCAGCTTATTAAAAAAATGTCCTGTAAAGAAAGGAAGGAACAACGTCGGTATCTGACATTGTGTGTGGCAGGTGGTGTTTTGTATGTCTTTGGGTCATGGTGGGAGATTGAGTATGTTTTATGAGGAAAGGAGCAAGTAGAAGGGGGAGAGTCAAAGAGAAGCAGGAGGGAAATTGATGGCTCAGGTTCATGGAAGGTAGGGAGATTGAGATCGTAGGTGGAGGGGTTAACTTCAGTGGGAAAGGACAGTCCCCCACAGGCATGAAAATGGAGGTGAGGATGAGTAGTAATGCAAGTGTGCAGCAAGGGGCAGAAAGCAGCAGAGGGATTTCCTAGCCTCTGGCCTGTTTTCTTGGGAAAGAGGATTGATGGTTTGCATAGAGAAGCAGGACTTTAGGAGAGCTGAGGTTCAACATAACTGCTGTGAGGAACGAGTGAGAGCCAGCCAGAGACCCGGGGAGGATGGTTACGTGGAGGTGTGTGGGTACTTACTCCAGGAATAGTCTGCAGCTGGCTGATGAGCACCCAGCAGGAGCTACTGGGGTTTATTTTATGAATGACCACAAATTTTGGCAAAAAGTGAGGAAAAGATGGAATCTGGAGGTTTTGGAGAAGCCGACAGGGGTTTCTGGGGAAAAATGACTGGAAGCACTGGGAGAGTAGAAGGTTGTAGTTGGAGAAGAGAATAGTCAGATTTAAGCCTTCAGAGGTGGGAAGCTTTTTTTCTGATTACGCTGAGGTTCAAAGACTGGACCAGGCCCTAAGGTGTGTGTGGCTGAAGGGAAGTAGAGGCAAAGGCAGTGGTGGTAAGGACTAGGGGAGTGTCTCAGCGGCAGAGGGAACCTAATTGTCAGGACATTAGGTCAAGGGGAAGACTTTGTAAGGAGTTCTGCTTCTGAGGCATGCATCAGGTTGGCCACAGAACCATGCTAAGGGAGAGCAGAGGGGGCAGAGTGATGGCCTAGGGCCACTGCCTGGGGGCACATCGGGGCTCATGAAGCTGCATTTTGCCCTGTTGCAGATTTTAGTACTTGCAGCAGAGATTCTGTGGCTTACAAAGCCTGAAATATTTACTGTCTGTCCCTGCACAGAAAAGGTACAGATAAAGAAATGAAACAAAGTCATAAAATTATTACAAAGCAACATAGTGACAGCTTAAATTTGTCAGTGTAATCCATAAGAATTTTATGTATACTTGGAAACTGTTAGCCCGGCAGCGTACAAGATTAATTTGAGTAATAGAGTTTTCATAGTTGAGAAGAGTAAGTGAAAACGTATTCAAGCAAAGCGGTTATGAGAAGATGATTTGGAAGAACATCAGTCTTGAAGGCAAATATAGGAGAGTCCCACAACTACTTACCTGTAGAGGGCGAGGGGGAAAAGAATCATACCTCTGGGACCAGCAGGTGGCGTGGTGGTTAAGGTGCTGGACATTCCCACATGGCTGACCAGGGTTCAAGTCCTGGACCTGGCGGCTTGCTTTCTCATTTCCTCTCTCTCTCACTCTCACCCTCTGTCTCTCTCTGATCAAATTTTAAAAAATCAACGAATGAATAAATAAAAAAGAAAATAAATAATTATTTTAAAAAAAAAAAGAATACCTCCACAGTAAAACTTCATGTGAAACAAAACTGTTGAACTTGAGGAACCATTACTTTCTGCCATTTATCAGCCAAAAATGCAGTGCTCAAAACCGGAGGCAGTATTGTGCTTTACAGTTAGCAGCATAAATTGCTGACATCATTCAGATGAAGAATCAACTCTTCATCCAAGAAATGTTGCTAATTACTCTCTTTTGGTCATGTGTCCAGTGTCCGAGTAAACGTGTAGAGTCTTTTAGTTTGGGGACCAGCAGATGGCGTAATGGTTATGTTGCTGGACTCCCACATAGTTGACTGCTGTAATGGTTATGTCGCTGGACTCCCACATAGTTGACTGCTGTTTGAGGCCTGGACCCAATGGCTTAAAACTCACACCAGTCACGTGTGTGTGTGCCCAAGATCCCGAGAGAAGAATGGAGAAGGGATTGTGGCATTGCCATTCCCTCTGAGGAGAATTTCTCGCTTTCTGTGTCTCTGTCTCTTTGGCGACCTCATGTGCCCTATAGCAAAAATCTCTATTGGGGGAAAAAAAGGAAGCCGTTCACATTTTGGTATTCTTGAAAAATACCCATAAATATTTCCATTCTTGAGAATATATTGGGTTGTTGGAAAAGTCATGACACATTTTTGCAGTAACTTTTCTAACAGCCCAATATCTTACAGAAATAGGAAGGGAGGGGTCAGCAGGTGGTTCAGAGTTTAAGGCACTGGATCCCACATGGCCAACTTCGTGGTTCAAGTCCCAGACTTGGCAGTTCGAGGCACATCATGTGGGCATGTGTGAGTGTGTGCCCAATATTTGGGAGAAAAGTGGAGGAGAAGGGATGTGTGACCATCCCCCTTCAGGGTCAGGGGTGATTTCTTTCTCTCTCTCTCTCTCTCTCTGGTGAGCACATGCATCCTATAGAAAAAAAAAAAAAGAAAGAAACAATGAAATAGGAAGGAAAAAAGTAACATTCATTGTATCCATTGTAGCATTATAGAGTAACACTTGGGACAGCTTAAGTGCCCGATTGTAGGGAGCTTGTTACTATATTATGGTACAATATTTGCTGAAATAGGATAGAGTCATTAAATCATTGTGAAGAGCAGAGAAACAAGAATCAACATGGAGACGTGGTATTATTATTATATACGTGGTATTTGTATTATAGTTGGTTGAACTATATGAAGTTACTAATATATGGACAAAAAGACTGAAGGGGAAATAAAAATGGTGGGTGATGGTTAAGATGTTTGGGTGATAAATTTTCCTTTTTAGAAATTCTTTATTGTTTTTAAAGATAGATTTTTGCTACAGGGCACATTTGCTCACTGGAGAGACAGAGACAGAAAGCAAGAAATTACCTCCCAGAGGGTTGGCCACGCCATAATCCCTTCTCCATTCTCTCAGGATTTGGGGCATGCACACACATGCACCCAGTATGAGTTTTAAGCCACTGTGTCTGGAATGTGAACTACAGCTGACTACTTGGGAATCAAACGACATAACCATTAATGTAATGCCATCAGCTCATCCCAAAATTATTTATTTATTCTGAAAGAGAGACAAACATCTTGATCAGAATCCTCATGCCCCAACTCATCCCCAGCTGGTCTGAATCACAGACACACGCTTCTGTGCTTGCTGCACAGGGAGACCTCAGTTGACGAGCCTGAGAGCTTCTGTTATGGCCTGAGCATTGCAGAGCACTTCATAACTGCTGTGCCACATGGCTGGGCAAATCCATTTTTCTTTAAATTCTTCCAGGACTGACAGGATGGATCCCATCCACATTGCTACACTGAGTCACCTAGCAGCTTCGGCCACTTCTGGATGATAGGGCAGTTATGGGAGTGAGTGCACAGCTGCTGTCCACTCGCATGTTTATTTCATTAAAAACTTTCTCATGGGGACCAGCAGTTGGCGTAATGGCTATGTTGCTGGACTCCCATGTAGTCGATCGTGGTTCGAGTCCTGGACCCAGTGGCTTAAACTCACATTGGGCATGTATGCATGTGTGCCCAAGATCCTGAGAGGAGAATGGAGGAGAGGGGCTTGCGGTGAGGCCATCCCTCCTGGGGGGTGATTTCTCACTTTCTGTCTTTCTGTCTTTCTGGTGAGCACACACACCCTATAGCAAAAAACTCTAAAAAAAGAAAATAAAACTTTCTTTATGAGAAGTTTCACACATGCACAAAAATAGAACACAAATACCCACTGTGATGCTATTATCTGATAATATGTGCGATGCTATTATCACTTCAAAAAAAATTAGCAGCCTTTTGGTATCACCTAATGACAACTCTGTGATCGAAATTTCCCATTATGATCTTAGCCCTGGTCTCTGAACTCTTAGCTGACCTCATAGTTCAGTCAGGTTGACAAACATTCTGGTGTTCCTGGAACAAAATGGTTTTTTTGAGATGTGGGACTTTCAGTGCTAGGAGTAGGCAAATCACAACAGTTAGCCACCTTAGTGTCAGAGCAGGCTATGAGGTCAGTGTGGTCGTTGGCTAAGTGGATCTTCCTCCCAAAGTTCACACTCAGAGGGAGAATTATTTATTAGTTAGGTCTGGAAGTTGAGGCTAAAGGAATTTCACAAACAGTGAAGAAAAGGCAAGATCCTCTCTAAATTTAGTAAGCTCTATTTAAATGGAGGATCAAAATAATCAGAAATAAACAAAACTAAAGTTTAAGGGGTGTGAGCCAGAGGGAGGAATCAGAAAGTCAGGGTAGTATTTCAGTAATTGGAGGCTCAAAAAGGTCAAGTTAAGCCTTGAAGATTAAGTAGAAGTTCCAAATTCTAAGCAAATTCATACTATAGATAGGACTATGAGTCTCCTCATTAGAGCATGGATTTGGGGATTAGAAAAAGTTGTATTTATGGGCCAGCAGGTGGCATGGTAGTTACGGTGCTGGACTGCACATGGCCGACCGACAGCTTGAAAAACGTGCAGAGTACATGTGTTTGCGTGCCTAATATCCTGAGTAAATGGAGGAGAAGGATTAAGTCATGGCTATCCCCCCGGTGGTGATTTCTTACCCCCCCAATCTTTCTCCTGTGAGTGCGAATGCCCTATCATCAAAACTATCAATTTTAAAAAATCAAAGTAAAAGTTGTATCTAAAACATCTCTTGGTTCTCTTTGCCCAGGGGTCTGTCCTCCAGCCTCAGCAGATGAGACTTTTGAACATCACCTTCAGCGCCTGAGAAAACTCATTAAAAAACGCTCTGAACTGTATGAGGCTGAAGAGAGGGCCCTCAGAGTTATGTTGGAAGGAGAACAAGAGGAAGAGAGGAAAAGAGAACTAGAAAAGAAGCAGAGAAAAGAAAAAGAAAAATTTTTACTTCAGAAACGTGAAATTGAGTCCAAGTTATTTGGGGACCCAGGTAAGTTCCACAACCAGCAGAGAAGAAAGAGATTGGACTGACAGCTCTTTTGTCGTGAATGATCTCAGTTTAAGCTCGGAGGTAGTAGGCAACAAATGACATCCTCCAGATTTGAAGTTCTAAGCTATGACATAGAATGCATGGTTACAGATAAAATATGTTTTTTTCTGCTTGTGTGCTTGCCAGAGAGAGACAGGGTTTTTTGTTTGTTTGTTTTAAGAAGTTGATTTCTTCGTGAATGTGAGAGAGAAAGGCATGATCTCCATCAGGGTCCCAGTGCCATGACCTGTTCCCGCCTTAGCAGCCCCCAGATCGTGGGCACATATGTGCCTGGAGTACTGAAGGGGGCCTTCAAATGTGAACCTGGAACTTCCCACGTGGGTCAGCCTCTCAGCCTGGTGTTTTAGTGCTGCACCTCCGTCCGGCCCCCAGTGAAACACATTCAGTGGTACTGTCATAGTCCTAGACTCAGCCACCTTTCCTTGAGAAGTACACTCCAGATATCAAGCACGGTGACAATGACGTGGTATTGTGCCTTTTCTCTTTCAGATGAGTTCCCACTTGCTCACCTCTTGCAGCCTTTCCGGCAGTACTACCTCCAAGCTGAGCACTCCCTGCCAGCACTCATCCAAATAAGGTCAGAGGGGCAGGCCTTTTGGGTGGCCTTTCTCTCAGGTAGCAAGAAGTACCTGATGAAGTGCCTATTAAGATGTCTTTTTAAAAGTTCCTTATGAATATATGATGTTTCTCAGGTATAAGAATGCCACATATGTCTCGTTTAGTCCTCATTCATTTTTGAAAAGTAGATGTCCCTATTTTAATAAGTGAAGAAACTGAAACTCCAGCCATGAATGCTTTTCGGTATTATCCCATGTTATTGCTGTTAGGTTGATCGAAAGCAGCCTTCTTTTCTTAATTCTTCTCTGGTGCTAATCAGACCTGGAGAAGAAGCCCTCCCCTGTGAACTTTGCCTGTTGAGACTGTTTAAGATGCAGACAGACTTCTGAGCTCTTATAGCTTAGAGCCCAGAGAGCAGGCACAGGGGAGTCAGCCATTGCTAAGAAGCTGGGGGAAATTTTCAGCTTCCTTGGTCTCACTTACCTCACCTAGCAGATGAAGCTGGTGGAGTAGAAGGTAGCCTTAAACTTTAGCAGCAACACTCTTTACAAATGCAGTCTTTTGATACAGCAGTATGTAAACCAAATTGAATAAAGGGTTCCCGGACAGTTAAAATGTGTTATTGCCTAGGAGCACTCTGTTGTTTTCAGACTCCCCCAAAAATCTACTTGGGTCCTAAAGGTCTTCAGTATCCATTGAAAATCATCAAAACCAAGTGACCTCTGAGGTCTCTTCCAAAGCTCTAGCAATTTGTGAGTCTTATGAAAGAATGTTCTTTAGCATATGAAGTTTATGTTCTGGGAAAAGTTTTTTTCTTTGGCTTGTACACAAGGTTTAGATTTTAAACAAGAGTACAGTTGATTCTCATTATTTATGGAGTTGTGTTAGACTGGGCCACTGCAGACACTGGATTACAGAATATCGAACCATCATTCAGAAAGGAAATATTTCAATAGACCCTTGACAGCCTTTGGTCACATTTTGATGAGCTAGTTAATACCATGTTTTATATGTTGTTTTTGTTCCAAGATACCTCATTTAATACAAGAAGGCTTCAAAAAGTTTATGGAAAATGGAATTAAAGTACAGATTTATTTTGGTACAAAAGTATTTAAAATACATGCAGGTTTTTTGTTGTTGTTCTTTTCCAGTTTTGCTACTGGGTGCATACACTCACCAGAGAGGGGCGATATGAGAAATCACCCCTCCCCCAGGGGGTGGCTATGCTGCATTTCCTCCTCTTTCATTCTCCTCTTGGGATTTTGGGCACACATGACCATGTGACTGGTATGATTTAGAAGCCGCCGGTGCCAAGACGGCACTGTTAGCCATGTGGGATCCAGCCACCTTTACCTCCATGCCACCTGCTGGCCACATGCAATTTTTTCATAATTCATTTCCCATGAACTTTTTGGAGACCCCTGGTACATATTGTTGATTTACTATCAACTCCTGGCTAACCACATTGTAACTCGTGCCTACACGATGCTGATCTAACATGTTTTCAGCACAAGGCACTCCACAGCCATCTCACACTGAGGAGCACTGGCCTGCACTTCCACACTTCACTTTGGGGCCATTTTAAACAGAGAAAGCATCAGTCAGAAGCCCACAGATGTGCTTTTTTTTTTTTTGGAGAGATTTTCACTGTAGGGCGCGTGCGCTCGCCAGACAGACAGAGAGAGACATAGAGACAGAAAGCGAGAAATCACCCCCCAGGGGGGATGGTCACCCGCAATCCCTTCTCCTCCATTCTCCTCTCGGGATCTTGGGCACGCACGCACACGCACCTGGCGTGAGTTTTAAGCCACCGGGTCCGGGACACGAACCGCGGTCGACTACGTGGGAGTCCAGCGACATAGCCATTACGCTAACTGCTGGTTCCCTAGAAGCCCACAGATGTGCTTTTGTGAAAATCACGGCGCTAGGTAGACCGTGAACGGTGCTTGCTTATGGTAGAAGAGCCGCAAGTGTTACCTGTTCAACCCTGGCCATATGTGCATTTTGGTGACTTGGGGTCTGCAGGTGTCTGCGAAAGCCCACAGGTAATAATTTGAGATTATAAATCAATTTCAGTGGCAGGCAAGTGCGCAGATAATGAGGATCAACTGTATATTTATTATATATTTATTAAGATACAGGCAGACTTCCGAGCTCTTACAGCTTAGAGCCCAGAGAGCAGACACAAGATTAGTTATCCATAGGTTGTAAATTCTTCAGTTTTTCCTTTTACGTGTACAGTTTTGAAATCATATTTTGCATAATTCCTAGAATTCAAGTTCTAAGATGGATTTGTGTATATCAGTCATTCAAAAAGGAAATTCTAGAAATAAAATAGTTGCTGGACATTGTGCTTTGACTGACACAGAAATAAATAATTGTTCTGCACTGTTTTTATTAAGGCATGATTGGGATCAGTACTTGGTGCCGTCCGATCACCCCAAAGGCAACTTCATTCCCCAAGGATGGGTCCTTCCCCCGCTCCCCAGCAACGACATCTGGGCAACCGCCATTAAGCTGCCTTAGAAAAGATGCTCCAGGAGTGTGGTCTGGCCAGCACTTTTTCACGCTCTAAATACAAATGATGCTCCGTCTTGTGTTACAGACTTGAACTGTGACTAGTAAGCTCCACGTGGCATGACCCTACCCTGAACTTCTGCTTCCCTTTTGAATTTTGTCCTGGCCAGAGATGCCTCTTGAATCAGGAGATTAATATGGTTCTTCAGGAAAGGACCTTGGTGAATTATACCATGATCAGTGGACTGGGTTCACCAAATTTGCCTCTGTTTTGAGGGGCTTGGTGCAGAGTGACTTGCTAACTTATCAGATTTCTTTGTATGGTCATGGGGTAAAGTACACTGAATTCATTCAAACACAGGGATGTACTGGGTAGAGTCACAGCCCTGACACCCATGGGAAGTGTGGTTGTGACGGCAAGCTTGATGTAGAACCTGCCTTTCCTGCCTACAGAGCCCTGACTTCCAGGGGAACAGTCACAGATACTTTTTCTTCGGTTTTATTCATCTCAATCTGGGTGCAGTGTAGGAGGCTTAGTTAGGAACATGGGTGGTGGCTGCAGGCTGGGCTGTCAGAAAAGATGGTGGCCTGATCTTGGTAGTCATGTGGAGAGATTTTAAAACCTGGACAGAGTACCTATATCCAAAATGGATTGTGTTTTAATATACGATGGCTGCATTTTCCCATGTTATAAGGATCTTAATAAAGGCACTTTTTTTTTTTTGTAAGTTCCTATATGTCTAAGTTGTTCAGGATCCCTAAGCATAAGAGTTTATTTCCCTATGGGAGTGGGACTGTAACCTCACTCAGTCACAGTGTAGAAACCAGTATGGCTGTGGAATTTTCTTAGGAACACTCAATTTTCCAAAAACATCTGTGTAGTCAAAGCTGGGAGGAAAGCAAATAGAAATAATAAAATTTATTTTTTATATTCATTAATAAATACTGTTGTGCTTGGAGACGATCATGTGATATGTCATTTTTTTTATTTGGTTTGGTTTGCACTGATTATTTTGTTATTTATGTTTTCAAAAAACTAAATAAATATTATTTGTATGTTTTAGTTGAAGCTTTTGCCCCAATTTGTTGCCTTCCAGATAACACACACTTTCACTTTAATGAAACACATTTTCACTTTAAAATTTAAATTTGTTAAAAAGGCATTTGCTATAGGAAAGTGACTCTCAAATACCAAACCTTGTCTGCAGAATCCAACTCTGGATAAGCAAGAAAGACCACCATCAACTTTTTTTTTCTTTACTTTTTTTTTTTTTTTGGAGAGATTTTCACTATAAGGGCACATGTGCTTACCAGAGATATGTAGAGACAGAAAGCCAGAAATCACCCCCTGGGGGGATGGCCACACCGCAATTCCTTCTCCTCTCGGGATTTTGGGCATGCATGCACACACGCCCAGCGTGAGTTTCAAGCCACCGGGTCCGGGATGCGAACCACGGTCGACTATGTGGGAGTCCAGAGACATAGACATTACACTAACTGCTGGTTCCCAAGACCACCATCAATTTTGAAAATGATATCTTGTAGTCAGACACTCTTAGGTGTAAGATACTAGTAATGCCTTTGTCCCTTTTCTGATTTTTAAATTTGTACTGGTCAATTTATACATTATGCGTTATGGTACCAGCACTTCTCCAAAGTACGAGTCTAACTAAACTCATGAACTTTAAAATCTAATATTATTAGGGTACATTGGCCACGCAGTTTGTGCCTCTATGTTAGTAATCTCCACCCACCATTTGCTGTCTTAAGAAATGCAAGAAAAGTAGAAATAAAGTTTTGAATTGTATGTTTGACATCTTTGCCACTGGGACATCTGCATGCCAGGGACAGGAACACTGCAGAGCCCAAGGAGAGGGGCATTTAACACAGATGGAGGAAAATCATTCCCTTTTTTCTCTCATTTGGCCTCTGACAGGTTTTAATAAAATGTAGTTGTTTGGTTTTTGTTTCATAAGTTTTTCCTGGTTTATTGTCTATTGTAGTGATGGTGGCAGCAGCCACTGGTCCTTTACAGATTTAGAAACAAAAACACAATAGTGTTTGTTCAAGAATAGGAAGGCCTTCAAAAAGTTCATGGAACATGCATATTATGAAAAATCTGTGCATGGATTTCAAAATTAATTGCACTGAAACAAACTCATACTTTCTTTCTTTTTGCTAAAGGGCACATGTGCTCACCAGAACGAGGTAAAAAGTACCCCCCAGTGAGACATGGTCATGACACAATCCGTTCTTTTCTTCATCGTATCAGGATTTAGGGCATGCACATATATGTACCTAGTGTGTGTTTCAAGCTGCCCGGTCTGGGAGTCAAACCACTCAGCCATGTGTAATGTGCCTCCCTTAACCACCAGGCCACAGGGTAGCCCTAAACTCATGTTTTAATTCCATTTTTTCCACAAACTTTTGACATCCCCTCATATGAACAGTGTCATCATAATCTTATTTCAGTCTTTTTTTAACTTACGGAAAATTTTAAATATATTTAAAAGTAAGAAAATAGTATAACTCGTTTTCCATATACCCATCATGTAACTTGAAATAATTATCAACTGATGCCAGTCTTGTTTCATCTATATCCCCACCATTCACTCTGAATTATTTTTTGAAATGAATATTAGACATCAAATTACTGCATCTATGAATATTTCAGTATGTAGCTTTACATGCTTTTTAAAAAATTTACCACAGAACCATTATCACATCTAAAGAAATGAATAACGACTGCTTAATATCACAAATAGTAAGTGTTCACATTTCTTTATCTCAAATGTGCTTCAAATTTCATTCAAGTCGGGATCTAAATACAAGCCACACATTGGTGTCTTCAAAATTTCTGAGAATCTATGTCTTCTCCTGTGTACTCTTGTACTCTCTCACTCTTTGGTGATTTTTTTTTTTAAATAGGGTCCCTTTTCCTAAAGAGTTTCCATAATCTTGGTCTTATTAATTGCAACCTTGGGATACCACATTTCCTATTCCAATATGGTGGCCACATACAGCTGTTGAGTATTGAAATGAGACTAGCTTGAACCGAGATGTGTAATTACCTGTGTTACGTTTTTGTTGGGTAGCTCCAATCTACATCTGGAATAGAACACTGGCAGGAGTGCTTCATAGCTATGGTGTATACATCCATTCAAGAGGCACTAATGTCTGCTTGTCTCTAATTGGCAGTCACTGATGATCAAAACCTACGTCTGTTAATTCATTAGAGGTTGGAAATAGTTTAATTATGTCACTCTTCAATTACTAGTTGGAATAGTTCTAAAAAGAGACCCTGTATGTGTGCCTGAAATCCCACAGGATGGAGAAATAGATTGTGATGCAACCATGACCCATTTGGAGAGGGCAGGACTTTCTCCCTGCCACACCCTCCCCGCCTCTACCCCGGTGAGTACGTGCACCCTCTAGCAAATTTAAAGGGAAAAAAAAAAAGGACAAATTAATGCGCTGGTGCCCTACCATCTTCCAAAGGTAATCAATGAACTGATTAGGTAATTGTTTTTAAGTGTCATAAACTTGAATTTAAACTAATTATATTTTTCTTTCAATCCATTGTTACTTTATCGATTGCCTCATCTCTGGCCAAATGACTTTTACAACTCAGCTCTTGAGTTCTTACACAGTCCCAGTGTCCTGTTCCAAGCTTATCTATACATTTCCTACTCCAGGCCTGCAATCAATCCTTTTTCCAGGGAGTCCTGATTCCTCTTCAGTGGAAAAGGTGTTTATAGACCAGACCCTGCATGACAGGTGCACATCATTAGCACTTGTCATTCTTGGTCGTTCCTGTTCTTTACAGTCGACAGAACCAGGAGCTACACAAATCAGCCCTGTTCTGAATCGAGTCTGTCTACACTCTTACCTAAATTCTCTGTGTCTTGAACATAAGTGAATGAAAACAGAGAAATAAAATTCCAAAGACTAACCGGAAAATTAACCAATGACTTCTTGATTCATTGTATCTTATATATAAGAAAATTTTTTATTTGGTAGGAAAGGAGACCCTGGACTTGAGAAAAACTCTAACAAAAGCATTTATTCTTAAGAAATTAAATAAATGCAAGGAAGATTAGGAAACTGAAAAGGATTAGTTATATGTTAAATACTAAGTGTACTTAGCCCAAGTAGCTGGGTTGATGATGTCAAAGAATTTGCTGCTGTAAGCTAACCAACTTAATCACTAAAGCCATTCATGTTCCAGTGTCCACGTGATTTCTCTAACAAGAGGCTTAGCTGGGATTAAACCATCTGTTGGGCATTTCACTTCTACGTGTTTTGTCCACAGAGAAGCTCTCCCAGGAATTATAAGGTAAGTGCAAGTTATCTCTCGTTCCATTTAAATAAGCGTAATAGGCAATATATAAAAGGATTGTAAATGTTAAAACATTAATAGCGATTTAGTATAGGGAATGGAGGTTAAGTGGGACATTTCCAACTACATCTTTTTTGTTGGTTTAATCTTAGACTTGGTAAACTGTTCCCATATAATAAGCTATTCGCCTTTTTGCATACAGTAGTCCCTGATTTGCCACATCTGGCCACCCGTGAAGAATTTGTTTCTAATGTAGATTTAATTTGCCTTTTGAGATAAAATTGGTTTCACACAGTCTCTGAAGCAAAAATCAAGGTCTTTGATGCAAGTGTTAGTGTATATAACTCTGTAGGATAATAGACGCTTTTCTCAACTTTAATAATTCACACGCGTCAGAATCTGGATAGGGTTTGAACTGTCTTCTCTGGGGAATGATTTTCTCTGTACCATTTTCCAGGTACTGTGATAGGTACTAGAGATATAAAAAGGAGCAGACAGGACTCCTGCCCTCCTGAGTCTGAGTTTAGAATAAAGAAGCTTTATGATTATACAGATATTTGTTATAATTATGATAAGTGCTTCTGCAGGTTATGAAGAAGGTAGATATGTACTTCTGTTTTTAAGAAATTTTTTGCTATAGGGCGCATATGCTCACTGGAGAGACAGAGAGACAGGGAGAAATCATTCCCAAAGGGGGATGACCACACCACAATCTCTTCGCCTCCACTCTCCTCTTGGGATCTTGGGGACACACGCATATGCCATGCACCTGGCATGAGTTTCCAGCCACTGGGTCCAAGATTCAAATCACAGTTGGCCACATGGGGTCCAGCAGTGTAACCATTATGCCATCTGCTGGTCCCGGTCTTAAGAGTCTAAACAGTGTCTTTCTTTCTTTTTTCTTTTTTTTAAAGAATTATTTTATTTAACTTTATTTTTTTAACTTGACCAGAAAGGGACAGAGTGAGAGAGAGAGAGAGACAGAGTGAAAGAGAGAGAAAGTGAGAAAGCAAGCCACCAGGTCTGGGACTTGAACCACCAGTCGGCCATGTGGGAGTTCAGCGCCCTTAACCACCACACCACCTGCCAGCCCCTGAACAGTTTCTTATCAGTCTAAAAATATGCTCAATGCTTTGAAGAAATGGCATGGTTCTGTGAGATTAGGACTGAATAGGGCTCTATAAATTTAGGTGAAATAATAGACAATAACTATGTATTACTTAAAGTAAGAATTATTACTCAGCTTACATATGTGTGTGCTAGATCAAAAGTACATTAGGAATCACTGTAAAAAGTCATTTTTTTCCTTCAAAGACACTGTACTAGGTGGACCTAACCAAGTTTGGGGTTCAGAAGAAGCTTTTTTGAGGAAGAGATATTTCAGTTGAACTCTGAAAAATGAACAGCTTTTAATTCGATGTGGGGAAGGGACGGGGGAAAGAACATAGCAAATGCCTGGACTAGCCTATGCGAATGTCCTGCAGTCACCAAAAGGCCACGGTGATCGAAGCTGCCACAGCTAAAGTGGGAGGAGAGGGATCAGAGGCCAGACATCGCAAGGCTTTGGGAAGCCTTAATTTTTATTTTGAAAGCAGCTAGGAAGCACTGAAGGCTTTAAGTAGGAAAACGCCTTCATTTTGTGTTTTGAAATGATCACTCTTGGAGCTGGTTGGTGGTTTGATCGTTAAGGCAGCTGGGTGCCACGTGGCTGGCCGTGTGGTTCAAATCCAAGACCCAATGACTTGAGAAACACACTGGGCATGCGTGTGTGTGTGTGTTTGTGTGTGTGTGCCCAAAATCCCAAATGGAGGGGGAAATGGAGAAGATGGGGTTGTGTTGTGACCATGACTCGTGTGTGTGGGGGGGGGTAGCATGCTTTCTTGCTTTCTTTCTCACTCTTCTCTGTCTCTGGGGAGTGCGTATGCCCTCTGACAAATGGAAGAAATAAAGAATGAAGAAAAGGAATCAAAGGAAGTTAGGGAGGGAAGATAAAAAGAAAAAAAGAAGAGCAAGGAAAGGTAAAAGGAAAAGAAAAGAAAGTCACTCTTACCTTAGTGTGTGGAACAGAGTCATGATCATAGAGCCCGAAAGGGTACAGACCAGCTGTCTACATGAGAGAGAAACGGGGGCTGGTGTCCCCATGAAATGGCTGGATTCCAGAGATCTAAGAGAGAAATGCGAGCAGGGGACTCGAGAAGGGGGTGAGTCCTTGTGCGCCTGCTCAGTGGCGCCAGTCCTTGAGACAGGGAAACC